AAAAAAAAAAAAAAGGAAGACGCCTCTCCCATGGGGGAAAGGAAGATAAGGCTAAAAAAAATGATGCTCGCCGAGTCACGTACATATTCTGGCTGGAATTTGAGCTCAGATCTTAGTGTGTAATTAAAGGTAGACTGGTCATAGCAACCAAGGGACATTCTGGAGTGACTTTTTCACAGGCTACCGGGATCTGTTTTAACTTTTCTGTCTAATTTTAGTTTTATGTTTTTTATTTAAAGCAAGTTTTAAAACTAAAACTATGGGGCATCTCTAGAATAGCTAAATATCCTGATGAAAAAGCATAACTGAGGCGCTGCCAGAATGCTGATGTGGGGATAGATTTGGGTGAGCGTCTGGTGGCTGGTGGCTACGAGGTCGCTAGTATCTCATCCTCTCTAGGACCCTGTGTTTCCCCCTCCATATTTTCTGCTCACTTCATCAGCCTGCGTTTGTCAAGTCCAGCCTTAGTCTTAGTGCTTACCTTGCTCCGTTTCTCAGCTGCTCCACTGTTCCCCCTCCCTTCTCCCCTCTGTGTCACTTCCTCCTTGGTTTCCTTGCACCTCCCTTCCTTGGGTATTCTTCCATTGTCTTTGCTCATCAACTAAGGATTTTTATGTCAAGCTGTCTACATTCTCCCCTGAAGTGATCAAATCTCCTCTTTAGAATTCAGAAGCCTCTTGGTTTCTGTAACTTCAACATCTGCATCTTCAGCCCTAACTACTTCCCCGAGTATCAGTGACCCACTAGCCAGCCTGCCTGGGCAAGGGGCTGGGAGCCTTCACTTGCCCTTCCACACCTGCTCACTGCCCTTCTCCAGAGCCTGTGTGCTATGTCAGATCTTACCTGTGTGAGGTTCAGACACCAGGAAGCACACAGAGGAGGAGGACAAGGGCTGAGTATTTATTCAATGTCTTTTTTTCTGAGTTCTTCATGCTGATGACCCGCATCAAAGTCCTCAGCTCCTGGAAAAGTGACCTTATTCAAATAGCACTTTCTGACCTTGTTTCTGGTAATTGAGGTGTGGGCTTTGGAGCCTGTCCAGGCACTATTCTCCTTGTAGTTGCCTACGCTCTGTTGTACCTCCATGATAGCATCTTTATTAGCCTGGGCTGCTTCTGGCTGGAAGCCTCCATGACTCCCTAACTCTTCCTTCTGTATGACCAGCGCCACGTGGCTGCTGCCAGGGTCTGCAGCCAGCTTGAGCAGGAGCTAGCTTCTTGGTTCTTTTGCATCATGGCTGGAGGGAATTTTGCCTGTCTGTTTGGCTGAGCTCTGTAAATAGAATCCCAGGAAGCTAGTTTCTCCTCGGTGGTCTTTCCGAGCAGGTGCCCCGTGGCTGTCTTCCTAAAGCAGCCTTCCACTTTCTACACAGAGTCTTCCACAGGTGAGGCCTTCCAGATTCCTTCCATGTCCATAGGATGTCCTTTTGTAAGGTACTTTTTTATTTTTTTTATTTTTTTTTTTAATTTTTTTTTTTTTTATTATTATTTGAGAGAGAGTGTGTGGTGTGTGTGTGGCCAGCTCAGCCCACCAGGGGGCGGGGCCGGCTGGCATGTGGTGCTGGGGGATTGAACCACCATCCCTGATGCCTTGCCAAGCTTGTTCTAAGTAGGTGCTTTAGACCACTGAGCCATCTCTCCAGCCCTGTAAGGTACTTTTTTAATATTAATACTTTTAGAGACTGAACTTTCCTCTGCTCAAACTTTGTAGGCCTCAACTGTACACAAGCTTTGTGGTGAAACTCAAAACTTTTAAAGTCACTCAAGTTGTGCTACTGGCCCTGGGTTTTCAGCGTAGAGCTAGTTAAAGCCTCAACAGTATGCTGCCACACCCCGAGTGCTGGGCTGCCTCGCGGTTTTCTCTCCCACACTAATTGGTCCACCACCCTTCATCTCCATCTCATCCAAAGTCTCAGGACATGAGCAAAATGTAGACACGATTTCTGCCAGAGCATGCACATGGCCTGGACTGCCATTTGAGTTCTTGTTCCCCTGAAACTTCCTGAGCCTGCTCCTTGCAATCTGCATATCTGTCAGCATTCTGGTCTTCTGATATCCAAGCCGAATCTTCCTGCAAGCATCAGCATTCTAGGGCTTCTTCTCTGTCTCCATCTCCAGGCCTGTCCAGACTCCTCCTATAGAACCAGTTCCAAAGGCATGGAAACCACGTGGTCAAGTACAGTCATAGCGAGGACTCCCCCCCCACACCACACCACACACACACCCCATGCACATCTCTAGTATCAAAATCTTACTTTCCTTATCACTGGGACAAAAATATCTGATGCTTAAAGAAGACTAAGTTAAAAGAGAAAATGACATTCTCAATGTAGAGTTAGCTAAAACCCCAGCAGTACGTGGCAACACCTGAAGGCTCACGCTTTGGCTCACAGCTTGTAGTAGAGGTTTCAGTGCGTAGCTGACTGGCTCCAAGGCAGGGCACCATGGCAGATGGTTGTAGCTGAGGAATGGCTGCTCATGGGATGGTGACCAGGAAGCAGACAGTGAAGGGAGGGGTAGGGTAGGATATCACCTTCTCAAGCCGCACCTATAAGACCCTTGGGGGGGTCTCTAAATGTAATTCATAACATGAGCAACCTTCTAATTCTCTAGAGAGTTTAGGCAAATGTAGGCCCTATTTGCTACAAAGATATTGATCCAACTTGGGCTGATGAGGGCGCTAAAGTGGACGAAGCGGAATGAGGAGCAGCGAGTTGTGTGCAGCGGGAAGAGCTCTGACTCCGGCCGCCTCTCTGCTGTCCTTGTGGCCGCAGGCAGGGCCCTTGACCTTTCTGTTTCCTTAGCCCCAATAGAAATAGGAGGAAATGGACAATTTCTAAGTTATTCTCTAGATATCTCTGTTCCTGTACTGGCTGATGCTGCCGAATAAGAGGTAGCAGGTACCTTTTATATTTTAAGGACATTCTGCCCACCCTAGTTGGGGAACCTCCTGGGTCCAGAGTGGCATGTCATCTTTCTAAAATATTATCAGGTAAAGAAGCATATGAATGTGCTGTTCTTGGGGACTGGAGCTTGGAACCTTGGGGCTAAGTCATTTAAAAGTACTTTGAGCACATGGTTTTGGTTAGTTGTCAGAATGTTTGAAGTGAGGTAGACAAACCATGGTCATCTGCATTCTTAGGAGGGAATAGAGATGTGCAGACGGACTCTCCCCAATCTGACTCTGTGCCAGGGCTGCGGCCCTGCTGCCTGCCACCCTCCCCTGCGCTGTGACACCTCTCATCCGACACGTGCACCAGCCTGCCTGTGGTAGCCTAGGGTTTCTTTTGTAACAGTGGACTGTCTCATCCCCAGGTAAGAGATGTGAGCTCTGTGATGATGGCTACTTTGGCGACCCCCAGGGTAGCAGTGGCCCTGTGAGGCTGTGCCGCCCATGCCAGTGCAGTGACAACATCGACCCCAATGCAGTGGGGAACTGCCACCGCCTGACGGGCGAGTGCCTCAAGTGCATCCATAACACTGCTGGCTTCTACTGCGATCGCTGCAAGGATGGATTTTTTGGAAATCCCTTGGCTCCTAATCCACCAGACAAATGCAGAGGTAATCCGCCACTGATCAGGTGCTTCAGAATCCTTTATTCTTCATCTCTGTCTCTTGGAACACTTACAGTAGTTTGATCTAGTGCAGTATTGTCCGTGAAAAGTACAGTGTGACTTGTGTTTTTACATTTGTATAATTCAAAATTTTTAGCCATCATATTAAAATAGTAAAAAGAAATAGGAAAGTTCACTCTAATATATTTTATTCAACCTAATATAGCCAAATATGTTATTTTAATGAGTAACCAGTGAAAAATTGTGAATTAAATGTGTATCCCCCACCTCCAACTGCGTCTTCCACATCCAGTATTTAAAATGCATTTTCAGCATTCATAGCACATCTCAGTTCAGATCAGTCTGCCACATTTCAAGGGCTTCACGGCCAGTGACCAGGGGCTTCTGCATGGGACAGCACAAGTGTGGAGTCTGTCTGAGTGCTTTTCATTGTCTTCCTCTCCGTTGATGTCCTCTGTGCTATCCCGGTCTCCTCGCTGCAGCCTGCGCTTGTAACCCGTACGGGACGGTAAATCAGCAGAGGAGCTGCAACCCCGTGACCGGGCAGTGCGAGTGCCTGCCTCACGTGTCGGGCCGGGACTGCGGCACCTGTGACCCGGGCTTCTACAACCTGCACAGTGGGCGAGGCTGTGAGAGGTGAGGCTCAGAGCCTTTTGTGGGGGTCTTCTTTACTTTTGTGTCACAAGAAGTGGGTTTTTATAAGTTATACTTGATAGGTGACTTGATTTTATTCCAAATGATTTGAATCCCTAATATAGGAAGTATGTCTTTTAGGGCCAGTGCTGGAGAATTATAATAAGCTGATGGCACAGAGGGGTGGGGTACAGTGGCTCCACCTGTGTCAGAATCAGCTGAGCATATTTTTAAAATAATACTTACGAGGTCCTTTCTGGGATGCTTAGAATAAATCCTGGGCTGCAGCCCAGGAAGTCTGAGTGCCTGCTTGACAGCAGCATAATACCGTGTCGCTCAGAACACAGTGGTGGTATTAGTCTCGAAACTGAGCTTCTGAGTAGCACCCATAGAAATCACTGGAACCTCAGGAGTTAATGATAACCTTTTGCGTTCTGTTGTCATAGCCCTTAACATACTGTTTTCTGATAAAGATCACACCTGTACTGTGCAGAAAACCAGCACCACGTGCTAAAAGTCTGTTTTCCTTACCCGAGAAACATCCTGTGTCTGTTTCCAGGTGTGACTGCCATGCTTTGGGTTCCACCAACGGGCAGTGTGACATCCGTAGCGGCCAGTGTGAATGCCAGCCTGGCATCACTGGGCAGCACTGTGAACGCTGTGAGGTCAACCACTTCGGATTTGGACCTGAAGGCTGCAAACGTAAGGCGTGCTATTAACCTGTGAGCCCGAGTCTGCTCTGGTTCTAGTTAGCAAGGACTCTGCCGGCCTGTGGCCAGCCACCTTGCTTCTGGAGCCTGGGCTTCACCTCAGTCATCACGGATGCTCTCTTCCATGAAATCATGTTCTTTTCTACAGTGGAAATGGAGGGCTTCTCTGGTTTCTTTGCTGCCACCTTACCTCTCTTCCATTTATGGTGTTTCTGATTCTTCCTGCTTCCAAAGAAGAGTCTCCCCTGATTATTGAGCTTGCCCACTGTGCTTCATTTTTTATTGATCGCATTTGTAGTGGAGGTAATGACACAGGGAGGAATTCTTTTCGCATTGCGTTTGTTGACTTCCTGGCTGCAGTTGCTTCCACCCTTGGGGCCCTTTTGGTATGGTTGTGTATAAACATCTGCTTCTCCTTGGCATAAACACTTGCCTGGAATTAGGCCTCAGAACAGTTTGGTGTTTTTGCTTTCTAAATTCCTTCATTTCTCCTGTGGAATGTAGCAAAAGTCACTTGCTCAACTCAGAGAACAAAGTGAGTAAACAAACTATAAAATAATGTAAGAGGAACATTGCATTTCGGTGTTCTCCATGTTTAGAGGAGTAGTAGGCAGTGGACAGTGGAAGGCAGGGATAAGATCCTGTGGTGTGGGGAAAGGCCACTGAGGAGTTTAGTGAT